CACACGAAGAGAAATCGGGAAGAAATCCTTGTCTGGATGAAGAAGGCTGAAGGGGGATTTAAACCCTAAAACCCTGGATGGCATACGGTTTATGAGATAGGTAGCAGTATGAACAGCATCACCCCAAAATCTTGTGGGAACATGTGAGACAAAAAAAAGGCTCCTTGCAACTTCAACAATATGTCTATTTTTCCTTTCAACAACTCCATTTTTGTTCAGGGGTTCTAACATAGGAGCTTTGATGAATAACCCCCATGTCAAAGAGATACAAGGATAAACTCTTCTCAAAATACTCTTTTGCATTGTCAGATCTGAAAACCTTAATTCTGGTATCAATTTGAGTTAAAAAAAAACTCATGAAATTGCCTCACAAGTCTTGGAAYTTCATCACGGGATTTCATTAGGTATATCCAAGTGAATCTAGAAAAGTCATCAATAAACAGGATGAAATATCTGTAGCCCCCCATAGAAGATAAGTGGTAAGGCCCCCACACATCAGAGTGCACAATATGAAAAGGAAAWGAAGATCTTTTATTGCTCACAGGGTAATTGTTTCTACAATGCTTTGACAACTGACATGACTCACAATTGAGACTRGACACACTGACTCCCTTAAACAATTCGAAAAGTAAATGACTTAAAGCAAAAAAAGGTAAATGACCCAATCGACAATGACTCAACATAATTCGACTGACAGACTCTGAAGAAGTAGAACCAAAGGCAGCATTCTTGGGATGATCAAAGCATTGGCCAGGAGTGTCGAGCAAGTATATTCCATTCGCTTCATGGYCACTCCCAATCACCTTCCGAGACTCCAGGTCCTGAAACACATAGTGAGAAGGGAAAAATGTTACACAACAATTCAATGACTTGGTCAAGCTACTTACAGATAATAAATTGGTATTTAATTTAGGTACATGAAGAGTGGAAGATAAGAGTAAGGAGTCCGTAGCCTTGACAGTTCCCTTGCCAAAAATAGATTTCAGGGTTGAGAAGTATGCCACAAGGGATTTATCCTCCTGTCTTAGATTCTTCACATCAATTTCTGGGAACATTCAATTTCTGGGAGTAGGTTTCTGCAACACTATCCTAGATTTCCTTAGCCGAGTTCATCCAAAGATAGTGTTGACTAATCTGTGGTTGCATTAAATTCACAAGCCACCCAATCACTGTGTAGTTCTCTTGCATCAATTTCTCATAAGATAGATCATCCTCTAGGGGAGCTTTCTTGCTCTCAGAAACAAACCCCCATTTTCCACTACTACAAATATGGATTTTCACTGATTGTGACCATGCCAAATAGTTGGTCCCATCAAGTTTAACTGTAGTTACAGCCAACATAGAATCGGCTGGGGTTCCCAAAGTCTGTCCATATTCAGCAGCACTCTTGCTTTCAAGGTCTGAGAAGTCCATCATGAAAAGGTCCCAATTAGGGTTTTAATAAGTTTCTCAAAGTGCAGGGATTCTTGATGAACTTGGTTTGAGCTGAATCAGCAACACCACACAGCTCACAAAATCAGTTCAGTCTTGACAACCGTGACAGCCAAGCTCGGTGGCAGCTCTTTCTAGAAGAATAAATACTATTTCAGCCTTTTAGGGGCAACCAGCAGACCTCCAAACACAGTATTCCAGGTCCCCAACAACCGTTGTCCCGAAGAGAAGAAATAACAGTCCACAGTCCTTGAGAGGCCATTAACAAACACTCTATGTGCAGTAGTTAACACCCTACTGATAACTAGTAGAAACCACTTCAATAGTATTTCGTATAGGTCCAAGAAAAGGCTGGGCTGAATTAGAGACTAATACCACTGAGTCCAAACCAGTTTCAGCAACTTGACAATCCAACAACAGTCGAACTGCTCCCCAAAATAACCCAGAAATCTCTGAGTTGAATCAGTCCAGCAATAGCCGAACAGTAGGGCAGAATGGAGAGGGGTTTCGAGTACTTTAACAGCACTCCCAAGCAAAGAAAATAACCCAGCAATAACTGCAGCAACTTACAGTATGTGAATCTCTTATTTGAGCTTCAAATCAGGTCGAACACCTTTCTCTCTGATTCTTCCAGGTCACCGAACTATTCTCCAAGTGGGTAGAGACTTGAGCACCCTCCAATGACCTCCAAGAACCAGGCGAATGACTTTAAACTTCCAACCCTAGAACATCCTCATGCAATCAACTGGACTAGAACCACATGAGGGTCACGCCAAGCTTTGGCCTGCTCTGATACCAAGTTGAAAACAGCCCTCTTGAAGTATAGGACTGCTTGAGATTAGATGCAAAACCAGAACACAAACAAGAGAAGATTAAGAATATGAGAGAGAGAGAGAGAGCTGGCGGCGAACTAAACTTCCCTCTAACACTCTAAAAACATTTTATTAAGTTAATCTTTGAATTATTACAGAGGCGCCCTTGGGTGGGCAAGAAATTACAAAAACAGAGTATATAAAGAGTATGGGCCCAAAATAGGGCCCATTACAGAAGAAAATAAATAAATTACAATAACAGCCCAGAGTATGGGCCCAGAATAATGGCCTATGGGCCATTCGGCCCATCTCCTCTACAGACATAAATAAATAAATTTATAGGGGCTTGGGTCTAGGTCCGGAATTTTTGGCCAGTTATGGATGTTCATTGGGTTATAATGAAAATTGTGGTCAATGAAATGCTTTGAACCGGTAATAGGAAACAAAATGGCTCCTTCATGGTTTGACTTTTAGGTATAGTAGGAAAAAACAAAATTTATTGGTTGTGGAGAGTAATTAACTTTGAGTATATATGAACAACCTAGATGTGGCCTACTGTTAAATGTCTTAATCTAAGAAAAGAAATTCAAAACAAGCTTTTAGGAATCTTGTTGGATAAAGATTGTATTTTATTTGTCTGTAGATCTATGGGGTTGTTTTTTTATTAAGGTTGGAAACCAATAAAGGGGTTCCTTTTACAAAGCTAATAATGGGTTCTTTTTTGACATCGGGCTCGAGCCTGGAAAGCCATTGGTTGAAGGTTAGCTTACCTACTAACATATAAATAAATAACAAGAGTGAAAGAGTCAAAATCACTGAGTTGACTTAAGAGTAATTAATTTTGAGTATATATGGACAACCTARATGTGGCCTACTGTTAAATGTCTTAATCTAAAAAAAAGGAAATCCAAAACAAGCTTTTAGGAATCTTGTTGGATAAAGATTGTATTTTATTTGTCTGTAGATCTATGGGGTTGTTTTTTTATTAAGGTTGGAAACCAATAAAGGGGTTCCTTTTACAAAGCTAATAAAGGGTTCTTTTTTGACATCGGGCTCGAGCCTGGAAAGCCATTGGTTGAAGGTTAGCTTACCTACTAACATATAAATAAATAACAAGAGTGAAAGAGTCAAAATCACTGAGTTGACTTAAGAGTACAGACTAGCTAGAGCATCCTGCAAAATTTTCTCAGCAACCAAACACTGAGAAGCAGATTTGGTAGGATAACTGGTCTCAGCAACCAAACACAGGCAACAGGATTGAGAAAATAAATTTTCCCTTCTCATCTCATCCTTTCTCAGCAACCAAACGGACCATAAGATGATGGTTTTGAATATAACTAATTTCTATTTACCCCTTACTTTGTAAGAGCATCTGCCATGGAATTAGATGATTTTTGGCCCATTTTAATGAGATTTCAGGTCTTGGACCAGTATACAAAAGCTTCATGAAAGCCACAGAAAACAGTCTTTGTTTGAAAGCATGAATAACATCCTCGCCGAAGACTTATAAGATAGGTAAAAGATTTAAAGACCTAAACCACAAGAGGTGCTCTTTAAGACTCCACAGAAGTCAGAAGAGATCCTTCTTGTCTATTTTGGTCTAATTGGACAGATACTCAGATGAGATTGTAGGTGGAGATGGATTTGCAGGTGATTATTGCTTAAACAAGAGGTGAGAAAACCCTTATCTACTTTAGCATTGTGTCAAAAAGGATAGATCTTTAGCAGTCAGGTGATTACTGCTCAGAAAGTGGAAAAAGATATTTTACTGGAATTTGACTTACCAGGGTAGTCAACAAAGATTTTTCTTTTTTTCTCTTTGCTTTTTAGTCAGCCTTCAATTTGGCTGTATTTTCTATCTTATTGGCCCTTCCTCTTACACCTAAAGATGGAAGGTTTTTTGTACTTATGACTTTCCTATCATAATAAAATACTTTGATCTTGATCTTTTTTTATTAGGAGTTATTTCGTTTTCCTAGCAGAGTTCAGATTGTTCATGGTAGAGAGCAAGTTAGAGGCAGAAACTAATTGTGCTGACCTTGTAATGATGATTAACAGAGAGGTTATAAGTCCCTGAGCATTTAGGCATCTGTCGAGTAGATTGTGGTTTATTATACAAGCATTTGAGTCCATTGGGAATTCTGTCTTTTGTTCTTTGAAGGGAAGCTAATCGTGGAGCATATGTTTCACCTTCTAATAGTTTAGGAGTCAGGAAATTTCAATTCATTCTTCCAATTTTTCTGCCTGACTTGTCTTTAGTTGGAAATAGTGACTTTTTTGTTCAAAGATTGATCAAGCCTGTATTTGGTTTGAAATGCTGAGGTGATGTTCTTAAGGAATTTCACTTTTTTTTTTATAATTGGGGAATTTCACAAAATTTACCGGGAACTTTCCTTCAACTTTCTCTTTCTCTCTTATTTTCTGTCAAACCAAACATAACTAAGTTTAAGCTGTTTAAGATCCCTCCATTATCCTTTTAGGTTGAGCTATTAAGGCTTTCTACTGAAAGAGAGCGAGAATCAATCAATATATATTAACTAATAGCTGAGTGCAGCTTCCTGCATCAAAGCGTGAGTGAAATTAATCAACACGAACAAGACGAGGGATGACAGGTTTTTCAAGGCTCGTTTACAAGAGTGAGTGTAGGAAACAATCAAGGGAAAGAAAAAGGAAGAACAATATGAGATGCAAAAAACGATGTTTTCAAAAGGATAAGCATTTAGAATAAGGAAAAACAATATGAGAAGAAGAAGAAACCTTTAAATCGATGTTGGAACGGGCGGCTAGGCAGTGACCAAATTCAGGATCTCTCTGTATATTTTTCCATTTTCCGACGCCGTGCTTGTCGACACCCGCTCGCAGAGCTTCTTCCTCTTCTGACGTCCACTTCTGCTTCGGATTTCCCATCTATCCCTCTTCAACTTGCAGACCACTGAGTCTGAATGAAATCTCTCCTTCTGCTACGTGGGAAGAACTACAACCGAAAAGTTTTGCGGGGTGGGCTTCTCCCCTTTCGAGTCCGATCGGCACCTCCCCTTCGAATTCCGGTACAGCACGCAACGTAACGTCGACAAATAGGGGTATTTTTGTCACTATGGAAACTTCACTCCTGTGTGCTCACACCCTTTTCACAGGTTCAGCTCTACGTTAGGAATCTTCCATCGAGACAAGTATAATGATGTTCCATTGTTCCCGATGCACGGTTGAAAATGGCCATCAGAACAGTGTGACCACAATTTTGTGAGGAGTGAACCTGCCCTCCCAATTCCAATTTCCTCTGTAAAGTGTAAACAAACCAGTTTCCTCTTTTTATGAAGGGTCGAAACGGCCATGCTTATACACGAAGAACGGAAGAAAATAAATCGGTTTTGGTCCTCACGAGACCGTACTCCCACCTTTCACGCAGCCTTTCCATTGGGAATATCTCTTGAAAATAAAAGTAAGAAAAATTCCCGATAAATAACATGTAATTTGGGCCTAGTGACACTTCGGCCCCGAATTCTAAATATAATAATCCAATATCCAAATTTTCAAAACGTACCAATTTAATATTTACCGTTAATCATTTATTAATTAACCAATTATTAAGTGGTATTTAAAATACACAAATGTCCTTAGAGTTTTATCTAATTTTTTTATTAATCATCTAAACATTAACAAAATATAATCAATCCCATAACCTTTTATCTTTTATTCAAAAAAGTTGGGGGTTATATCTTAGTGGACATTCTATTGACCTCAACTTTCTTCAATATAAAAGGTAAGAATTTGGGATTGTTCATTTTTTGTCAGTAGCATTTGAATGGTTTGATTAAAATATTAGATGCCATTCAAAGGGCATTCGTGTCTTTTCAAATGCCACTTAGACTGGTTAACAATTAACGATATGTACTCAAATTGGTACATTTTGAAAGTTTGAATACTAAATTGTCACATTTTAAAGTTCTGGGACCAAAGTGACACTAGGCCTAAAGTATAGGATACTAATCTGGAATTTTCCTAAAAGGCTGTAAAAATCTACAAAATCTACATGCATAACTTATATTTTATTATTATTTATATAGCATGCAAATGCATGCGCTTTTTCATTATCAAACTATCAAAAACAAGATGGAGTATAAATACAACCTAAAATATCATCAAAACAATTATTATTATTATTATGTTGTTGTTGTTGTTGTTGTTATTATGCTTCAAAAAAATCATTATTATAATATTAAAACCTTTTTCATGTATTTTGTTCATGATCCATTGTCATTGTCTATGGGTATTTCCCTATAAAATCAGCCCATCCACCTTGGGGTGGGTACTTCCCAATCTTAGTAAAGGACGAGATCTATGCATCATTTCTAAACTCACATTCAATTCAATGATAAATTAATAAAATATCTCTAGGTTTAATATTATTTTTAAAATGTCCTTGAGTCTCTCCTAATTTTCCAAAACTTTAATCCCATTTTTAAATACTCACCGAGTTTAATGTGCTTTTTAAATGGTTGACTATGATCACAAATTACCCCTCCTTATGGGTAGAAGCATAAACCAGGTCATGCTGCCCGTGGCTTGGCACGACGGTCCATAGGTCGTGTTAGGCCCGGCACAAATCGTGTGGGTCGTGTTGGGCCTAGGGTTTTAGGTCCGTGGGCCAAGCCGACATGGCATGACCAAGTGGGTCATGTTGCCCGCGGCACGGCCCATATATATATATTATAATTATATAACAATATATTAATAAAATAAATAATTGTTTTCAATTTTATTACACTAACTTATTTAATTATTGTATATATAAGCAATTGCATACATCAAAATTCATATAAAATTAAAATTTTATGTTTTTTTCAATTTTTGTTAAATAAATAGCTTTGGCCTGGTCTACGGCCCAACTTGGCCCAAGGCTTGGCCTATGACACAGCATGGGCCCGCACATGTTTGGGTCGTGGGCCGTGTCGGGCTGACCCCCAAGTTATCGCATAGGAGGGTGGCACGTAGACCTGGCAAAAAGTTGACCCAACTCGTAAACCCGACCCAACCCAACCCCAAAAAAAAGGGTTAGGGTCTCATATTTAGCTACCTAAATGTGAGAATGATCCAACCCTTGGGTTGGGTTGGGTCAACCCACTGACCCGATTGTCAAGTCTAGTTGGAACTATTTATGCTTTGTTTGAAGTTTTCACTTTTTAATTTTTTCTATTTAGTCTTTACTCTTTATTGTTCTCTTTAAATTGTTAAATCAAGTTTTTTTTTTATTTTATATTTGAAATTTTAAGGTTAATTCATTTAATTTTGGCATTTTTCATATAGTTTTTTTTTTTAATTTCAACTGTTTTTTGGGATGACCCGAATTGACCCATGAGTCAACCCTAACTCGAACATTTGGGGTTAGAGCGTTAGAGTATAGCATTTGATAACCCAACTCGAAATCCAACCGACTCGAAATCAACCCAAAGTATATTGAACCAACCCGGACCCGACCCCCAACCCGATTGCCAGATCTAGCGGCACGGCTCACACCTCTACTTATGGGGACGGGCATGAAATTGAATTCTTGCCTCGTAACGAGGGACAGATGGGTGTAGGGGATTTTGGTTTCGAGACGGAGAAAGAGGGTGTAAAGAAAGGTACATAATTGTTTTGGCTACTAGTTACTCGGTAAAATGATCCGCAAATGGATGGTTTGCTTTGATTTAAAAAAATAATAAAAGAATGATTAAAATAAAACGAGCCCGGCTTTAGTCGAGGTAGCGTCAATCAGGGCACCGCTCTCACAGCATGAGAATGCGCCATGCGTCCTTGAAACGTGCAAGTGCTTAAAACATACAAAGTGGATCTCCTCATTACTAGTCTCTCTCTCTCTCTCTCTCTCTCTCTCTCTCTTTGTTTCTCTATCTCTCGCCACTTTTCTCTTTCTCCGTTCCTGGCTTCCAGTAAAGTTCTCTCTCCTTCACATGGCTCATCGTCGGGATGCCACTCTGTTACGATCTGATACAGGCTTAGTCTTGTCTACGCTTGATAGACTTACGTTGGGGACATCACCGTCATTTTCGCTTATAAGATTTTTGGGAAAATTGATATTATCTTCAGGCAGACCACCAAAAGTTTAACGTACTTTTTGAGTAGGGGTGGTCAACCTCCTTGGGTGCCTATGTTAGACAGTCTTGTATGCCCTTAGCTTCAATCCAATTTGATGTACTTTTGTTATTTAGTGGAAATAAATAAAGTGCATGTTTGATTTAATTCTGTGTAAGACCCTAAAACTGGACACTTATAGAGACTCGTGTTAGTTTTAAATATTCACAGCCGTTGGATAAGTCTAGGGAGATTTATCCTGCCAAGGCTGATACTGGTGTACTGCCAAGTGTTGGGATGGCCTGTCTCAGCCACCAGGGTAAGACCCGAGGCACATGCAGTATGGGATTACTTGAATCCTTGAATCGGACCAGATTTCCAGTGTTGCCCTGGACCTTATAGACAGATGGGCAAAATTGGAAAGTTACACCTGACCCCTAGACTCGATTATGACATTTCACTACGTGTCGGACCGGACTGTCTTTGATATGCCAATCGGTGAGATCCTTAGATGGGGATCAAAACCTGGGTATGTTGGGATAGT